AGGTGCACAGCTGATATAAAGGGACACCTAGTGGTTAAAGCATGTTATTGAGTTTCATTATTTTATTATTAGATATTAATAGGATCCCTATAAAGTATATTAATTACTCGTTATTCTCTACTAATAGTTAATTAAAGACTGTATATAATGACTATTTTGCACATCCCTTTCAAGATTTCAAGATTTTCTAAGGTTTATTGACATATCATATAGGCCTACACAACTATGGTGTAGTTATAAATTGAATGAAAAACTTGGGTCGCAGGTTTCTCAATAGTGCATTACAAGACATCTATCAATATTTGTGCATACCTCCAGCAATGTTAACTATGTTGAAGCACTTATTTTAACTGATATTATACATAATGTATTATACTCTTATAAGATGTATGTAGATATTTCATCTCCGACCTTGTCAGGTATTGAACAATCAATAAATAAAGAACACAGAATTGTTGAATATAAAACACAGAATTTGTGTGATTATACTAAATGATTTACAAATAAACACCACTGCATTTTAACTGTTACACATGCTGATGTAACGCAAATGTTCCAACTTGAGATCAATAAAGTATATCTTATCTTAAGCTGATCGATGGCTACTGCCATATTTGCAAAATGTGCCTCTGAACCTTAACAAGTGCATGTTTCAGGCTTATCAATTAATGTAATTTAATGTTATCAATTAACAACAGGGGTCACAAACATAAGACCAGCTGTTAAATAAAGCTCTTCTGACCTTAGCTGGCATGTGTGTATATATATTAATGCTGCCCATTATGGGCACAAGCAATTTTCACCCATTTATTAATTATATGTTTTAAATGTGAGTGTTTCCTATCCCCTAAACCTCCAGGGATGTACACAGTTTAATACTGGCAACTTCTTATTATGGGAAATACGAAAACGTCTTTTAAAACTACAACTCCCAGTAGAGACGTGCCATAGATACAGAACATGTTGCGAAACAGAATAGCCAGCATTTGTAGTTCTGGGGACAGGGTGGGGGAGGGGGGGACGCGGTGGACCCGTTCAAATCCAGTTTTGGACAGTCTGCTGTGATTCCATCCCATTTCAAGTGCTGTTCGAGAATCGGCGTAACCCTCGGAGCACACTCTCCAATCACAGAGCTTGAGGACTATCACGGGGTTTGTCAAACAGAGCACATGGTGTAGTCCAAACGATAGCTGGGGATTCTGGGTAGTGTAGTGTCTTCTGCCATCCTTTACTCCGAAAAAACATTTGTTTCTCCGAATCGAAGGGGAAAAATACAAAAGCATTGCACACAATTTAAACCAATCAATGTTGTGTAATTAACAAGGATAATCTGGTGTTTTTTAGTCGATGAGTAGTGCAGATATCACTGTAAAATCAATCGACAGTAAGGGGAATACTTACTTCCGGGTGTACAATTCTCCGTTATCCAATGAGAATGGACGCTCACATTGCCTTTAAGGGCAGCCGACACAAACGAATGCCGTGCTTCCATGAGCGTCCATAGAAGCATATGGACATCCCGGAAAGCTGAAAATGGACGCTAAGGGCCCCCCCCTTGCGTTGAAAATGGACGCTAAGGCCCCCCCCCTTGCGTTGGAAAAAGCCGACAGGGGACTTGACATAACGTCAACATAGGCCGATCTGGGAGTGAGGATGTGTTGCTCCCCCTCACACCAGAGGAGTCAGGGACTCGGAGGCTCGGTCATGCGGCTGCGGGTTGAAGATAGCAGGCACAGACTCACACCAGGTCTGCTCGTCCTGCCTCGGGCTGGAACACGCCCAGGAGGCTATCGACAACCCCGGCTCGTGCGGGCATTGTGCCCGTTTCACCCGAAAGAGCCTCCACCGACGGCTAGCACACCAAGCTAGCTTGTTGGAACAGGACTCCCTCATGTCCACGCATACCAAGCGGAGCTCTGTGAGGATATGTTGAGTATGAGTGGACCGGCCGTTCTGGATGAATGGGCCGCGGTCACAGACATTTGTCTCCGTGTCCAACGCTGAGCCGTCCAGGCCACGGGCTAAACAATGGGGATCATGGTGGTGCAGGAAAGAGCTAGATGGTTCAACCTCACCAACCTCCCAGACCGGGAAAAGGAGGATGTGCTTGACATGCCCATCGTTCCCGAGGGGATTTTCGGCTCTGCTCTTGCCTCCATGCAGAGGAGATGCGAGTCGAAAAAGAAGGAGGACGAGGCCCTCCACCTCTGCCTCAGTAAACTGATAATGCTGCAGTGGTCTCTTCATTTTTTCTTAGTTGTAAATACACAATTAGGACTTTGTAATATAATGAAGGTGCGAGAAGAGGGTGTAATTTAGAAGGCACACACTGACCTCAGCTGCTGGTCATCTGGTTCAGTAACACATCCCATCAATATAAATGTGTTTACTGTCACTTCTTACTTTGATCCACCAATGGAAATACTCTGTGGAAATATGCTGTTGTTCTGAGACATAATTACACCATAATTATAGCTGGGATTTAGAGGATCTCAAACAGGATGTAAAATTGAAATAATCAAATGATTCAAACATGTGATATTTCCATTCACAAGTCACACTATGGGATTCACACAAAGGCTTAAATGAATGGGGATGAATCATCTATTGATGAGAACAGATGGATGATTAGAGCTAATTCACACAACTGGAAATAGAAGTGGAACATTTAAGTAATAAAGCAAAGCGGGAAGGAAGGATGCTTAATTATTTGCAAGGCTATGTGTGATGTCCAGGCCCATTAACTGAAGATCATTTTCGACTGTCAGCAAAATGCTGTGAAGACTGTGTTTCTCACAGGTCATAATCTTCACAGGTTGTGTTTAGATTGGTGTTAAAAAGGATACATTAAATTGGAAGGTGTGTGAAAAATAACGCAACTTTTCAAAAATACTATGGCCAAGAAAAAAACTGCCAAAAAAATTGGCATGTTTCCATCCAAATGTAACAGGACATTATACAACTTGATGATGTTTTTCTTTAGATGCCTCCAACCTGTTAAACCTTTATGTTTTCAAGTCTCAAAACCTTGATAAGTGGATTTAACACTGTAGACATCAAAAGTATGATTTTCTCAGACATGATCAACCCTCTCTCGAGCTACAAAAACATATACAACATATTTTAGAGTCTTCCTATAATGAATAAAGTGATTGTATTTGGTGGAATGTCCCTTTAACTGGGACCATTTCTTCTTGGAAATTAAAATACCTGTGTTTAATCTTTTACTTGACACATTTCAAATGCAGTTGGATGGAGTTCTATATTTTCTTTATCTAAGATCCAAAAAGTCCTTTGAAATCTGGCATTGATAAAAAATAGTATTAATCTGTTGTTTTTTGTTGAAAAATGTGCACTCTAGTTTTAATGTCTGTATAATAATGAAATAGGCCCATGACATGCGTCAACTGATGTCAACAGACACAACAATTATTTAAGAAACCACTAGGTGGCATCAAAACATTACCTACGTTCCAAGATCTTAATTGAGGCCTGCACATATATTTTTCTCTCTCGAAACTACTGTGGAAATATTTGCTATCGAGTATTGAACTGAAATAACAAAACATAGTTTGTCAGATTTGTATCTTCTTGGGCAGATTGTCCTTTGTAGCTTTTTGGTATCTTTACGTCTTAACCCCGTTACAGTGTAAAATGTGTAACTTTGTTGGACGTGTTTAGGAACATTTTTTATATTGTGCTTTGTTGTAGAACTTATATGACATGTTTGGCACCTTATAACAGTATGTCTTCATCAATTTCAAGCTGCTCAGAATGATACAGAAAGATGTGTGAACTAAGAGAATGATTTAAGGGCATTGCGTTATGAGTGAAATAAAATTCCACACAGTTTATTTTAAATGTTTTTGTTCACATAAGGCCACTTTAGAATAAATAAACTGTGTGTTCCCCGTCTTTTCTATAGTTTGTGACGTCAAACCCATCATTGCCATGGGAATAGCTATAGGAATGCTTGTTACCCAATTCACATTGCTTTTTTGTCCTCTCCACTAACGTTGTCCATTCAGCCTTGCGTGCAAAGCTCTCATACTATCCCTCTTTTACCATGTGCACTGTAAAACATCAGCACACACTTATAAAAGGGATTTTAGATGAACATCCTGACGCCAGTTGCTGACTGGATTCCTTTTCCTCTCTCCAAAAACGCTCATTATTTACCTTACAAACAAAGCAACTTGTGCAAAATCCACCTCTTTTTCAGCAGTTTTATTCCGTTTTTTTTTTACTAACATAGAGCGCGGTTTATCACTTATATTAAACACAGAAATATGCTTATCAAAAAAATGCAATATGACAATAACTGTTTGATTTATTTGTAACTTTTGGTTTATAAATCTATGGTTACATTGCTATGTTTGGAATGCGTAACGGACAAAGATGTTACATGTGCTGTTATTGATATTGAGTCACATTGTATATAAAGTTAGGTTTCCAGGGGCGCTGGGGGCAGCAAGGTGGTATCCTGGACTGTTTGCGGGGAAGGATCCGGAATCAGGCTGTTTGCTTTGTAAGGCCTGTTGTCGTTCCAGAAGAAACCTTCCCACCATGGGGGCTGGAGGAGCATGCTGAGGGTTTACCACAAGCAGGGCGGATACGGCCCATCCTGCATCCTGGATGCTCGCCGCTGCTAAACCTCAACCATGGAGACCCAACATGGGATTAAAGGAGCTCTCAAAGCCCCCCCATGTCCAACACTGCCCCCCTTTACCTCTGCCAGGTTACATGTAGGTTTGTTTGGGTGTGGTATATTAACTTTAGCGTTAAAATGAACATTACATCTGTCACATTTATTACTCTTTAACTGGGTAAGATAGTGTCAGTTTTACTACCAAAAATTCAATTTAATAAAAACTAAAAGTGAGACAGAATTAGGAATTCAAAATGAAGAGTTTTACTGTAGTTATTTATATTAAAACAATAGTTATATACAATCAGATAATACAGGCTCATTTATGGAAAATAAATCACACAATAACAACTTTTTCCCTTTTTGAAATGCTTTATTTTTGTAATACATTATTTAGAGTATATCTGACCATTATGCAATTCAAGTGTTGTTAATCTTAGATCCTCATTGTGTGATTTACTAAAACAGAGAAAAAGTAAGTTTGAGTAAAAAAAAACAACAAAAAAAACACCTAGACTCCTGCATAAGTGCCATTGTAAACAAAGGGCTTGTCTGACACGCAGTGACCTATGACCTCAGGAGTCCACCTCTGGACTTTGGGCTTGCCGTCCTTTCCCTGCCGGACGATGACGGTACTTCTGGATGCCACCGAAGGATCTTCGTCAAAGAAATTGAACGGTCGGAGGAAAAAGCCCACTGTGTTGCCGGGGGTTGCCGTGTTGGGGATGTCTTCTGAGTGAGGCACATGCAGGAAGCCTACTGTCACCCAGGCTACCAGGTCCTGCACACAGGAGAGCAAATAATACATTAGACCTTTTTAGAAAAGAACACATTACAGGTGTTTTGAAAGAGCAAACAGAGGTAAATGTCAGCATTCATGAGTTACCATGAGTTTGAGAGAGCAAAACGATTCTTTAAGGAAGAGCTAACCTCTCAGCTGAAAAAAGGGTTAGGGTTAGGGTTAAAACGTCTATTAATGTAATCTAAACCATCTTGAATTTGATGTGCATTGTTGAAATATCTTACCTGATTTACTATGTCTTCATTGTTGCGAATGTAGTCCTCAAAGGACACAACGGGGTCCCATGGGTCACCCTGGGTGTACATGCTGCTGCTGGTGGCTTCACTGTCTTTATGACGAGTCACAGCAAGAGGATACCTGTGGAGAGGAGATATGTTTTGTGTTTCGTCATTCTGTAGGCTTTCAAACTAATAATTCATAACAACTCCCCAGCCAGTCTTTCATTAAGTCATTTCAAAAGTGGGCCCCTGTTGTTATTTAGCTTTAAAGTGCAAACTATTTGGTCTATCCAAAGACAATTTCCAACAAAGTGTTGTTGTACTGTTATCTGCTGCACCTCTGTTGACTGCCAATCCATACTTTGACCTGAATTCTAACAAAACTTCATGTGCAGGGATTAGCCTCTTCAGCCCCACTCTTAAGTGACACTTGTAATTGTCTTGGTTTAAATTGATATGTATTTTGTCTAACAACATAAGGGAAAACATTTGAATACCTTGACCAACTGATGCCATTTTCCTCCCTCCAGCCTCTTGGAAGCACACTGTGGGCATGTGAGTTAAACTGAATCCGATAACCCTTCTGGTGTCCCCATTTATTTTTCTCGTTGGGATTGTAAAAGTGCACATAGCGGGGGAATTTTTTGCCAAAGCGGAAAGCAGCTGATCTCTCGGTCTTCTGCTCTGTCCTATGGAGTTTGGACTGGACGATGAAGTTCTTTGGACTCCAGGGATTTGTGAAGTTGACATATTTCAAATCAATCGTCTCAAAGCTGTTCTCTCGACCTATGTCACAGTGAAGGCAAAGAGTTGTCAGAAGAAGTTTAAGGTCAAGGTAAAAGCAGTGTGTTGGAACAATATTGGTCTACAGTACATTTACTTTTGCATTAAAAGTCTCCAAGTGTTTGACTTATTTATGGCACATACTAGCCTTTATCACAGCAAGCCTTGATCACACATTTCAACGGAATTGGCAATCTAACTAACCTTTACAACAGGGTAAAGTCCAGGAAACTATTTTATCTGGATTGGCATCAATAAAAGACCTACTTTCTGTCTGCGCTTTCTTTGATCTGATTTCACACACTTCACAGCTTCAAAATGTACATTGAAAAAGAGGTGTGAAAAGACAAATGTTTGTAACCTTAGGTCTTCTGATTAATAGATAAAATATGGTATAATGGTTTTTCCCAGTCCTATTGCCAAACAAGAACATCAATATTAGAATATTCTGCATCAGATTAATTATCGTTAACATATTTATAATATGTGGCAACATTAAAAAAATTCCCCCTTTCTGCAATCTGCACATGGCAACAATGGTATGGAAATAAAACGCTTGTTTGCTAAATAAATGTTGTTACAGCTATTACAATAGCAAATGATAATTTAAGAGCATGACAGGATGTTAGTTCCAGTGAAAAAGGCAATTGATTGTTATATTTACCAGCAATATCTAGGTCAACCTTATAATGGATGAGGTGTGTGTGCAGGTTACCAAGCACATGGTTGTACACCTTGGCGCCATAGTGAAGGCCGTTAGCTGTAAAGAAAGTGGCATGGATGTATCCGGTAGCGCTGACCTTTACCTCCACCACCCCATTCTGGTAGAACACGAAGTCCCAGATGTAATCATAGTTGTAAACCGTTGCGGTCGTCCGCAACACCAGCACAGCGTTATCCACCCCTCCAAAGAAGTTGTATCCCCCCTTGAAGTTGGAGTCAAAATGCCTCCTCAAAGGCATAGCAGTGGTCATCTCAAAAATACAGAGTGCATTTTTGTAGCGCACTGGTTTATCCGTGTCATAGTAGTGGTACAGGTCAACAAAGGTGGCAATTTCTGGACAGTCTATTCCTGGCGCCAGTTCGTAGGATGAGCTGCCCATTGCCCAGCCGGCATCAATGTACTTTGTTTGCATGGCAGCAGGAGTATCACCAGAATAGAAGGCAATAGCTTCTTGTAGGCTGATCTCATAGGCAATCCTTTCCCCATTAAAACGCAGGTCAAAAACTTGAAGTCCAGCCGATGATCGGACTCGGTAGGCGAAAGACCATCCAGCATACTCAACAAAGTTGCGGTCAACGTGATAGCGCTTGCCCTGAGGCTCGACAAGCTTCGGCCCATGGATATTAGTGGCTGTGTTGCTGTGACCCCGGGGGATGTAACTAGAGTACAGGTCATTGTCGTCATGTTCAGGCAGTTTGATCTTCTCCACATCTCCTGATTCGTATTTTTCAATCAGTTCCTCAACACTGTCAAAGAACATGCTGTTATACCAGACCTTCTCGACATTCCACTTCTCTGGGTCCAGGTCCTGGTGGTTTATCAATACCTCAAACCCAATTGGGTGGATGAAATAACCCTCCACAAATTTCTGCAACATTATCCAGCTTCTCCTTTCACCTGGACCAAGCCCACGGGGAGCTATGTCAGAGAACGTCAAGCAGCGGTTTGAGCAGTTATTGAAGGAAAACCCTCCAGTGGTCTCAAATAGAAGCTTGTGAGCTGTATTTGCTATCTTTCCTAGTATGTCCTTAATATGATCATACTCTACAGCGGAAATAGGCCTTGACTCAAAGCGGATAGGCCTAGCCCCCTTGAACGTCTTGATTGTGTGGGTCTTTGGGGATGGCAGAGGACTGACAATGTACTCAGTGATGTTGGGTTCGGTCTTGTTCCCGAACTGGATGATCACACGGGCTTGACGTTGGGGTTTGGCCTGACCACGGTCCAGAGCTCTGAGGGCTTCATGCTTCCTAGGCAGATGTAGTTCGATCAGGAGGATGCTGTTCTTCATCAGAGTCTTGCTACGAGCTTCAGTGAGCTCCAGCTCTGGAATACCGTGCAGGTAGTCCCGGACAGCTTTCAGCTCGCGTGCTGTGAGGTCGGCATACATGGGGGCACCATGATAAGCCCAGTCTCTTGATCTGGATGCACTACAACCAGCCAAGCAGAGCAGCTGCAGTAGACAGAGAAGCCTCATGGCTGAAATATAATGAGAAAGTAATGTCCAGCATGAATGTAGTGAATAAAGGGGGGAACATTGATTTGTTGAGTGATCTCATGCATACGTTTGACTTTGGAAAGACAACAGATCTTGTATTCAACAGTGGGAATTTGGGAGATTCAAAAAGATAAGCCTTGTTTCTACATATTCAAATGTATTTCACACTGTTTTTATTCACATTATAAAACAGAATAAGAAGCTTATATAAAGTTATTTATCTCCAGTATAATTTAAGACAAACTTGGGCTTTGTTCCCTCTTCCTGCTCTCTTCACAGCTGGGTAAGCAATTATTGCTCCGTTCATTTTTTATATCAGTCTTTCCTCTACTTCTCCACAAGAACACCAACAGAATGTGTCTCTGGAGCTAATCTTAATGTTTTACAGATGCCCTGTGATTCACTAACAAACACAGTGTTATTTGCGAATACAAAACACCATCTACAAACTAATGCATTTGTTTTTTTTTCAAATTAAATCATGTGACAGAAACAAATACAGTATAGATCTTACAAGTAGACCGACATCTTTTCTACTATTTTAGAAAACGCTCTTTCTAACAATATCAGACTAAATTTAACAACATGAGCAGAGTTTTTTGTTTCCGGTGAAAAATCTAATGTAATCTGCATAATACAAAAATATGCAGCTTTTGACAGTGTGACACTGTCAACATAATTCAAAAGAGAAAACTCAATACAACATAAATTACTTAAAATAATGTAAATGGACATGTGACATTTTCAAAAGGTTTCAACATTAGGTTACGAAGCTACATCACATCCAATCATATCTTGCATACAAATTGACAAAGTTGTATCTAGTTCCTTTCCAAAAACAAGAATTTCCACCATATTTTATAAAAGGTATCAGGATTTTTCCTATGAAGCATAGGTTAATTGTATTTGCAAACCACAATGTGTTTGTTAATGAGTCATAGGGCATCTGTAAATCATGTTAAGTTTGTTTGTGGAGGTTTGGCATGAAGTAATCTCCATATATGTCAGCCTGTACTTTAAGACACTCAGAGTCAACACTGCCCTTATCTCTGTTCTCTGTTTATCTTCCTGTACTGTTTGTGCCGCACACTTAATAGATAAACTGCACACAATTTAAGAAGTTCTCAAAGCAAACTGTTACATTCTGCAGCTTTTATTGTACACAGTATTATGTAATAATGTTTCGATACAGTATATAATGTTCAGACTTTGAAGTAGTTCCATGCTTCCTCAAAAAACACTTATACTTCTGAATGAGAATCAAATAAATAAACCAAGCTACTGTACCTTAAGTTGTCCTGCTGTGTCAAGCAGTGTGTAAATCAAAGTCGGTCAGTACGGTCCTCCTGCTTCAGCATTTGGAGAAAACGCTCTTATGAAAACAGAATCAATAGACTGCTGCTTTTAACCACCTTCCTTGTAGTGACGGAGGCCGATTGGTCCACAGTGGGTTGTAAATATGATAGCTCACTTCAGTGATAGTGATGACATTGTTTGCAAAATTATTAACAGAGTCATTTTCAAGATTGAGTTACAATGATAAACTGGAGTGGCAAAGGATCAACTGCATGACCCCGCCATGAAGTGCTTAATCCAAAAGGACAGGAGGATGGACTTTGTGTTTAAGTGATTTGATCATCAAAGGTAGGTAAGTATTGGCGCAGTGGTCTGTGCATCTGATCATCAGATCAAGGGGGCTGCTGGGGAACTCCAGTTCGTAAACCCGCTCCTGCCGCCACTGCGTCAGGCCGTTGTGTCCTTGGGCAAGACACTTCACCCGGATTTGCTCCTGTGGGTATTGTCCACAGTTAATGTGTACTTGTAAAAGGGCCTCGATGACTTCGAGCGCTTTGAGCATCTGGAAAAACGCTATAATAAATGTAAGGAATTATTATTATTATTAAGTCATTTTCAATGTAGGCCGCCGAGCCGACTTAATTCATTTGTAATTGTTACTTGGCTGTGGGTGCCCTGTCATGATAGGTGTTTATATAAATGGTGTTGTTTTGTGTGGTAGAGGGTCGCTGTCATTGATGCGTTTTGCACCCCGGGCCGCTGTTTTGATATTCCGCTGAAGTATACGCTGTGACATAATAACTCTTCTTTTTTTCCGAGGGAAGGGGGGGTAGGGGCCTAGGTATAAAAGTCACGGCTCGCCACTGACAATAATAAACTAAATAAATCTGTTTCAGTGCAGTGCAATACAAAAATTGCAAATTTGAGCAGATTGACTGGGATTTGTTCCAGATATGGTGAATATAAAAATGGTTTCTCTTAAAGTTAAATGTTTCCCTCCACATAAAACGAAACAATGTATTCTTAGCAATGCTGTAAGCAGTGCTGTAATATGCAGGGTTCGTACGGTCATTGAAAACCTGGAAAAGTCATGGAAATTGAAAATGCAAATTCCAGGCCCTGGAAAAGTTATGGAAAACAATATTTTTCCCAAAGTTTTGGAAAAGTCATGGAAATGTAACTAAAGTTGCGTCAAATATAATTTACATTTAATCTAATCGCTGTGGCATTGTGCTGTGTGATAAAACTGAACATTTCAGAGTGGACTTTTATTGTGGCCAGCCTAAGGCACACTTGTGCAATAATCATGCTGTCTAATCAGCATCTTGATATGCCACACCTGTGAGGTGGGATGGATTATCTCGGCAAAGGAGAAGTGCTCACTATCACAGATTTTTTCAGATTTGTGAACAATATTTGAGATAAATGGTTATTTTGTGTATATAGAAAATGTTTTAGATCTTTGAGTTCATCTCATGAAAAATGGGAGCAAAAACAAAAGTGTTGCATTTATATTTTTGTTCAGTGTATATGATATGTTTTATAATGATTGATCATGAAAGTGTTCTCAAAGCTGGTAAAGGTGCAGCTAGTTTGAATGACTTTGTATACTGCAGGGTCCCTTGTGGATTTACTCCAGGTGGAACTAAAGTCTGATTTAACACTTGATTATATTTCACATCATTCATCCAGATCTGTGAAGTAACTAAAGGTATTAAATACATGTAGTGGAGTAGAAGTACACCATGTACCTCTGAACTGTAGTGGAGTCGAAGTACACCATGTACCTCTGAAATGTAGAGGAGTCGAAGTACACCATGTACCTCTGAACTGTAGAGTAGTAGAACACCATGTACCTCTGAACTGTAGAGTAGTAGAAGTACACCATGTACCGCTGAACTGTAGTGGAGTAGAAGTACAAAGTAGCAAAACATTGAAATACTTAATAAAGTGCAAGTATCTCAAAACTGTACCCCCGTATAGTACTTGTTGAGTTTATGAACTTAGTTACACCAGTGGCTATACAGATAGAAAGACTAAGCCTTGCACAGAGGCATGAAAATACATTTTCAAAATGCTCAACAGTGCTGCCAGAATTATAAACTGACTGCTACACTGCTACGGTTTCAGGCTTATCTTTCTTACAGTGCAGACGCTTTTCTGCTTGCTCTTGCCTCTGCTTACTTTTGATGCTGATTTTCCTATTCTTATTCTCTGAAAACTTCGAGCAGCGGCTCCTGGACATTAACTTATCACTGGGACAGTTCATCTTCGTAAATAGACGGAGGGTTTCAGCCATATTTCAACATTTTTACGACGACGTCAGTCTTACAATAGCGTGGCCTAGCAACAGCTAAAGCCTGGTAGGCTACTGCTATTTAGCTAGTTGGTAGCAAAATGCCTCCGTTCTCTACAGATGACTTCCAGAAACTTATACAGAAGATGGCTGTGTTGGAAATGAAAATGCAACGGTTGGAAGTTAACGTGGAAGTGAATGGACTATGTCGTGGGAATGACACGACTTTACCAGTGTTGCAAAATAATGGAGAAGGGTATGCTAACTCACAGCTAGTTAGCAGCTACAAGGATTCCAAGGAACAGGAGGGCTGTGTACCGGGTAATAAATCTACAAGTGGTAGTCCTCCCTGGAACTCTCTGGGTGCAAAGCCTAAGAGTAAATCATTTCAATGGGATTTGGGAGGACGGATAACAGGCAGAGCCCAGAGCTCCGAAATCTGTGATGCGACCGGCTGGCCTGCATTGTTATCACCCAGGAAGAGCGCCTCTTCAACCCCTATTCATACTAGGAAACAGCAGTGGACAGCTGCTAAAGGGAGAATTACAAACAATCCTCCTAAACCACCAAGTGTGCCAATCCAGAACAGATACGCTCCGCTGACCGAGAACCGGAGATCTGATGACCTGGATAACCTGTCCTCTTCACACAGCAGGGTAAGGACCAATAGCTACTCTAAAAGTAAAAGGCTAGAGGGAAAGCTAACGACTGGGCCTGAAACTCTGATTGTGGGTGACTCTGCTGTAAGAGATGTAAAAGGTCTGTGTAATAAGAACAACACCAAAGTACTCTGTTTCCCCAAGGATGTGGTCTCTGACTTGGCTGAGAAGATCCTGCATATTGGGGCTGAACATCCGACTGTGAAGAATGTGGTACTGCACATTGGAACAAATGATGTTGTGAAACAACAGTCAGAAGTACTGAAAGAAGACTTTAAATGTTTGTTGGAAACTGCCAGCTCTCTAAATGCAGAGGTGTTCATCAGTGGCCCTCTACCGCCAGTCAGAAGAGGAGTGGAGAGATTCAGCAGATTGTTTGCACTGAACACCTGGCTTTCAACGGCCTGTACTGACCATTCTGTTCATTTTATTGACAATTTTAACTTTTTCTGGGATCGCAGACATCTTTTCAAGGCAAATGGAGTTTGCCTGAACAAGTCAGGAGTGAAATTGTTTATCTCTAACATATTCAACTGCCTGCGTCATCAATCTGTTCCCTCTGCCAAGGACAAGCGGCAAGAGGAATCAAAACAGGAGAAAGACACAACACATCACGCAGAAAACCCTGAAGAATTATCACTGCACCCGCCTGAGGAATGTTCTGATTATGGGAGACCTATGAGACAAATGGAGGAGTCTCCACTGCCCGTCACCCCCCCCCCCCTGTCAACGCCTTTGAGGATACTCCGTTCACCCTTTCACCCTCGCCCACCCTCCTGGAGATCGATGAACACACAAAGGAGATACAGAGGGTTGGCACCGATTCCTTCCTGGAGTTCAAAGACCAAACGAAGGCGATACGCAGGGCTGGCACCATGTCCTTTACCCCCGCTCCTCAACGACGCCCACCAAAATCACCGCGGAGACGCACATCATCTCCCCCGTCCTCATCACCGCGCCTACGTCAACCACCTCCCCCCCCTGGCAGCATGTCCTCTACCCCCGCACCATCTCGACCACCTCCCCTCCCTTCGAGGGGGCATCTGCAGTCTCCGAAGCCTGATAAGGATGTGTGTGTACAAAACACAACAAACTCTTACTGATATGTGATGGGTCCAGGCTCAAGGGCGTATGGCACTCTCAACTCTTTCCAGGACATGTCGGGGCCCTGCCTGCCAGTAGCTTTGCCGATATCTGTGTTGATAGGTAATAGATTAAGAGCGGTGAATCATAGAAGCAGGAAGCGCTCAAACGTTTGTGTGAGTGTATCTAATTTAGCAGTGATTCCATGTCAGCCACAGCTTGTTACAAAAAACATGACTGATAGTGTGTTTAACAAACTTAAACTAGTTTTATTAAATGTCAGGTCTTTGGCAGGAAAAACATTTTTAATTAATGATTTTATCACTGAGCACAATCTCGATTTTATGTTTTTAACAGAAACTTGGATTGAACAAAATAACAGTGCAGCTGTTCTTATCGAATCAACCCCTCCCAACTTTAGTTTTATGAGTCAGGAAAGAATGCATAAGAAAGGGGGTGGAGTTGCTATTCTGTTCAATGATTCCCTTCAATGCAGGAAGACATCGTATGGAAACTTTGATTCTTTTGAATATGTGGCCCTTCGGCTGAAATGCTCCTCTCGAGCTCTGTTCCTAAATATCTATAGACCACCCAAATACTGTGCAAGCTTTTTTGATGACTTTACTGAACTGCTGTCTATAGTGTGTATTGACTTTGACCGTCTAGTCATTGTTGGTGATTTTAACATCCATGTTGACAACCCCCAGGACAGAGGGGCTAAAGAACTATTTTGTGTTCTTGATAGCTATGGACTGACTCAGCATGTGACGGAGCCCACGCACAATAAGGGGCACACTCTGGACTTAATTATCTCAAAGGGTGTGAATATCTCTAAGGTTGTGGTGACTGATGTTGCACTCTCTGACCATTCCTGTGTTTTCTTTGAGAGCTCTATTTCTGTTCACAAAAATGTTCAAAAAGAGGTAACCACAAAGCGATGTTTAACTGAAAATACTAGGGAAATGTTTACTCAGAATTTCTCTTCCACACTTGCCCCTGCTAACATCTCAGTAAATGAGCTAGTAGATCATTTTAATTCAAAAATTAAAAATGTTATAGATGCCATTGCTCCAACTAGGTTAAAGGAAGTGTCTGGCAAGAAAATATCTCCATGGAGAAAGGCCATGACCGTGAAAACAGAAAAAAGAGAATGTCGAAAAGCTGAACGCAGGTGGCGAAAAACAAATCTCCAGGTTCACTTTGAAATCTATAAAGAGAGACTTGGCCTTTATAATTTGGAATTGAAAAACGCACGACAATCGTTCTTCTCTGACATCATTACCAAAAACAAAAACAACGCACGTGCCTTGTTTGCTA